GTTAGCCCCCCCAGCCCCATATAGGAGGGCAATGAGTCAAACTTGTTATTTTTATTTTTTTCTCAATTTTAATTTATATTCATTGACAAATTTCAAATTTAATTCATTAATTTTTTGTTCTGCTTTAACAATATTTTAAAGTTTACATCCCCCTCAAACTGAGGGGGCTGTAAACTTTATGAGGTCACAAAGGCGATCATAAAAATATTATTGAATCCTCATTCCTCATATATATGAACATACTTAAAAATGGAGTTTTCTATAAGTCTTAAAGTTGCTTAACTGAAACATCAAAAAAAATTGTCTACGGGCTTGTTTTATATATCACAAATATAAAATAAGTAATTTTACCACAAACAATTCCAACAAGGTACATTTTGCTAAATGCAATCTTATTTCCTTTTCCCTTCCAATTACATAACTTTGCTACATCTGTGATCAGTAAACGACTTAGCACTGCTCTGGTAGTTGACTTTACATTGAGCCGCCAACCAATCCAAGAAATCTTGTCTATATAAAGTAGTATAAGGTAATAAGGATGTAAAAGATATAGGGTAAAGTTTATCATAATACTTGAAAAAACAAGTTTCACTAAGCTAAAATTTTTGATTAATGATTGAATATTACTTCAAAAGTAATTTATGTTATACAAAAAATACAATTTTATATTAAAAAATATTGAATTAGGTTTGCATATACATATCTTTTATGATTTGATTTAATGTTTTGTTGTTAACTTAATTAGTATTATTAAAATAATTAATAATTTCATGAATATATAATTTTTTTATTTGATAAATAATTTATGTATTAACTATTAAGTTTAAATAGAGCTTTACCAGTCTTCCTTTAATGTCGCTTTCTTTAGCTTGATCGTTTATAAGGTTAAACTCTTCAACAGTTGTTGCTGGTAATTGGAAAGGTAATCCTCTAACTAAACTCTCTCCGTCATTTGTTTTTGCAAGGTGCTGTAACAGGTTTATAGTTTTTTCTCCTTGTTCCTTAAGCTCGTCTCCTTGCGCTTTAATTTCTTCAAGAAGAAGAATTAGTTTCTGTTCTACAGCTAAAAAATATTAGAACTAGTGAGCTAAATAATTTAATATTGGCAAAGAAATACTATAATTATAAATATTATTTAAAATAAAAATTCAATATAATTTTTAAAATGATGTAAAACATAAATTAAAAATTAAAACAAAATAACCATTGACATTCTGTAATCTATATATATAATCTATAATGTGATATATATGTAATCTATTATTCTGATGTAATAAAAATTAGCAGTTAATAATTTAATATATACGTGTTGCAACTGAATACAGCCATCCATCTGAAGAGCATAATGGAAATTCTTTTAAAGTGGCTTTCCATGAGGTTTAGAAAATGATGACAGAATGCTAGACAGGCCACTTGATCTGCTTGTCACATGTTCTGGAGTGTTACAATTTAAGTGAGAATTTGGAAAAACAGGTGGCTCAGGAAGATCTTCGTACTCTGTACTTAACTTTTTATGGCTTTTTTGTGCAAGACTTTCGCTCAGATTTTTTTTCGGTTTAGCTAGTTGCGAGTTCCCTTTTTGCAAACAAAAATTTATTTCTGGACTACTGCATATATCAGTTTCTGATAAAGGCAAGTATGAATTCCTAAAAAAAAGCTTTTATCAATACACAAAATTTAAAAGATATTTCAGCAAAATTTCAAACAGTTTTTGTTGAACCACAAATAATTTTGATAAATCATTAAACTTAATTTAGTTTTACATACCTTGCTCGTTTTTGTTTACATTGCATTGTTCCATTGTCTAGGTCTGAAACATCATTCCCCAAATCAGATTTTTCTTTTGCTTTTGTAATATCTTTTACTGCACTTTCATATGAATCTAAACCCGTTTAAATGAAGTTCTATATTATATTTGAACTAATATGTCCGTTATGAGATACTACAAACAATAAGTATTTATTTCGTAAGTATGACAGCACATGATTTATTTGTATAATTGCTCATAAGCTATAAAACTTATGTAAAACATTTTTATAAATATTAGAATTGTTATAAACTTTTTTCAACAATTGCAGCATTAAAAGATGCAAAACAATACCATAATTTTTCAAAATTCTTGCTTTTTAACTCTTCCATTTATCAGTTTCAACATCAACGCATGTCTGAACAGCTTTTAAAATTTTTTGCTGAAATTTAAATAGTGGTCAATAACATTCAAGATGTTCATCAACATCAGTACATTTAATCCAGGTTTTAGGAGCAATTTCCACTTCATCAGTGTCCAGAAAGTGAACAATACAATATAATCTAAATATATTAGCAGGACTCTATAGATTAAAGGCTTTAATAAACAAAAAAACTTTTTAACCGATTTAGTTATATAATTAAAAACAACATGTCAATTAAATATTTTTTTCACAAAAAAGATATAATGAGGTGTTCACTTTCATTTATAGGTAAACACACACATTTTGAAACTACACCATTTATGCTATAT